ACTTTTAATTTACTGTAAAACAAAATTTTCTTTATAAAAAAGAAGAGCTTTTTCAATCTTAAAAAAACAGACCAGATACTTTGAAGCTTAGCTACCCATCTAATAACCTCATTTTCTTTTCTTCTTGAGTTAAAAAAAAAAAATTGTTACTAAGAAAGAAAAATGACTTTAATTCCTATGAGGTCAAAATACAGTCTGTAATATTTTCATTGTTTATCCATATGTGTTGAATTATTAATCTTTCCTCTGTCACCAGTGGATGCCTTCAAAGCTTTATGTTAATCTCGAGTTGTGCAAACCTCGCAAATCCCAGGAAAGCAAAAAAGATGTTGAAAGAGAAATCTCTAATTTAGACTGTAAATTTTGATTCATAGCAGAGGATAATTTCTTTTCTTCCCAGGATTGTTATTCTGGAAGTGAGCCAAGAGAGTTAGAATTTCTAGAGTAAGATACATCCAAGTGAGAGAAACTTCCATCTGTAACGGAGATGGAAGTAAGCTGGGGATGTACATCGAGCCGTCACGTCTTCCTGATACGCTAATGACGCAAGAAAGCACTGGTTCTCTGATATCTATTCACAATACAGTTCTCTTCTAGATCCTTTTTCCCAATTAGTTTCCATTCCGGTTGTTTTTATTAATTTCCGTAATATCACAACATAGCCTTCTTAAATAAGTAATACGTAGGTTTTAAAATAAGGGTGCCAAAGTGGTCTGTGCTGAAGACACTTGTAAATCCACTCAAAAATGCAGATGGTCCTTTGCACTGTCCAACTGGCCCTTGGTAGGTTGGGTCTCTGTCAGTTACGAGATTGGGGCTTTTCTTACAAAGAAACCAACGCACTCTCACTGTTTCCTCCTTACCTTGCTGTAGACCTGCAGTGAGAAGAGTACCAGCTTGCATGACTATGGCATGTTGCTGCCCTGTGGAATTGACAAGTTCCGAGGAGTGGAATTTGTCTGTTGCCCGCTGGCCGAGGAGAGTGACAATATTGATTCGGCAGATGCAGAGGAGGATGACTCGGACGTCTGGTGGGGCGGAGCAGATGCAGACTATGCCGATGGGAGGTAAGGTGGCTTTTGTGTTTGCTCTCTCGTGGACGCCAGAACGTCCAGATTACAGTCTTGTTTCTTCTACACATGTATCTTCCCGTTTCTCATTAAAGGGATCTCTGCCCACTCCTGTCCAAGTTTGCTTGTAGGAGGGAAATAAAATCTAAACCACGAAGTCCTATTATGGTAATGGCCACCTGTGTAACCTAATTGATCAACCACTGCTGAGTTACTTTTAGCTGTTTTATGTCGGTGTCCAAAGTTGGGATCAAAATACCACTGATACTATAATAGGTAGTTCTGTAGAATTGAAATCTGAGTGAGTGACTGGCATTCTGTTTTGGTCTATAATTTAGAAATATTTTTTAAACAAGATTTTGGAATTGCTTCATCAGTCAGTAGCTAAGTCTGAATTTTTTGTTAGAAAGGTTGGTTTTGTCTTTTGGTTCATTTTTGTCAGTTTTTTTGGCATTTAATCATCTCTTTGTGAACGACGTCAGAGGCATTCATAAATGTTTGCTTGAAGTTCTTTATCTTTGATTTCATGATAGTTAAAAGAATTGTATTTTCCCCTTTTTGGGATCTTAAACCCGTAACTTCTAGATTCTTATGTTTTATTAAAAGCAAACCTCTATATTCACATCATCAAGTTATAAAACTAGAAGTTGGGGGTTAGAAAGGTTACCTGCTTCAGTCATCAGTTTCACGCTCCATCATCCCCCAGTGGTGATGATTATCTCACTTCTCCTTTTCCTTCAGGACCCCCTCAAATGTTCCCTGGTGCCACAGGTTTTCCAATAGAACATTAAGTATGAATTTGTTAAGACTGATGGTTATTAATATAAAGTTTTCTGACTTACAGAGTCAGGTACAGATCTTTTATAATGTATTTTGTAGAATTTTTAAAAAATAATTTTACAAAAATACAACTAGATTTTTCAAACATCTAAGGCATCCTAATTGTCATTTCTTACCAGTTTAATAATATCAGGTTTCCCTTTAGTGCTATTTTCCAGTTTTACCGTAACTTTTTTTGTTAGTTAAGCTCTTTTGTGTTCCCTCTTTGCTAGATTGAGAAAAATTGTGTTCAGTGTAGCAGGATATGGAGCTAAACAAATCGGGGAATTACAAAAGAGAGAAAGAAATAAGGGAAAAGCCAACTGTATGCTTCACAATATTTCTGTCTATAAAAGTTGGAAGTTCATTAGAATAAACTCCTTCTCTGAGGCCATTAAACCCCAGGGAGAGCAGGACTTGCCAATGGGAAAGCGTCTGAGCTCTTTTTCCACAGGATGGATGGATTGTGTTCTGGGCCGTGGCTGGGCCCCCACCGGTATTCCATGAGCCAGGTGTAGAGAAACGTCTGTTGGTTTGGGTTTAATGGCTGCTTTGTCTAAAAGTTGGAATTGCCTAGTTCTTTTTGCTTTTATGATAGTTTTTTCGTATTTTTCTTCAGTCATATCTAGATGTGAAAGTTTCAGAGTGAGTTCAAGAAAAAATTCTTGTCATCGGGGCTCTTACTACATTATGCCAGTGCAACCAGTATTGAAAAGGGAATTTGAAGTTGGACAGCCATTTTCTTTGTTCATAGCCTGTTAGATACTTGATCATTCCACATCACTAAATTGACTCCGTACTTCATCAACAACCCAAATAATGGCGAGTAAACCAAGAGAGCTCCATGATTGCTGTTAAAATTAGACAGCTAGCTGTGCACTTGTAACCCTGTATCAAGGTTGGTGACCAACCATTCATGACCATTCATATAGAAGGGACTTCTGTAATTAAGAGTGGGTATTTTGGGGCACCTGGGTGGCTCAGTCGGTTAAGTGTTTGACTCTTGATATCAGCTCAGATCATGATCTCACAGTTCATGAGATCAAGACCCATATCAGCCTCTGCATGGACAGTGTGGAGCCTGCATGGGATTCTCTTTCTCTTTCTCTCTGCCCCTTTCCTGCTCATGTGCATGTGCACCTGTTCTTTCTCTTGCTCTCAAAATAAATAAATAAAAAGAATGGATATTCTTGTTGTATCCTGAGAGTGACAGGCTTTTGCCAGGGTCTCTTTTTTCCCTCTGTTAACACTTTTTTTTTATGTCTTGTAAAACCTACTTTCTATTGGGAATAGATTTGGATGTGTCCTTTTTTTTCCTTCTGCAATCCCTTCAACTTACTGACCTAATTGAAAGCATTACTAACATGATATCTTATGAAACCTTCTCAATGGCCCTTTCTTTTCCTACACCCTTTCTCACCAGTGTTGGAAAGAGATCCATAGGGCTTCCTCATTTATTTATTACTGTTATTCAGTAATTAGATTCTTTGATATCCAATCTCTCTGGTTAAAACCACTGTCTTCTGTGGCAGTCACCAAACTATAGGATGCCAGTGTATTATTCTTTAATGTTGTTTGTTGTTTTTTTAATTTGCTGTATTACCTACAACTAGGGCAACTATGCAATATATTATTCAAACCAGATTTGACCCTAGGACCACAGTGTGTAAGCACAAACTGAGCTATATGGTCATATTAGCTATCTCTATCTTTAGCCATATCACCATCCAGGTTGGCAGCTAGTTGAAATGCTAGCTGGCTCCTTCCTAGTCCTCTTTATTTAAATTCCATTTCTGCTGGCTGCAACACAGATATCCCTTGGACTCTGTCATCACTTAGAAATACTGTACCCATAGGGTTTGTCAGCTTTGACATTCCTCTCTGACCAGGATCTTCTCATCTTACACCCAAAACACTCATTGAGTCTTCTTGAATTTCACCCTGCTTTCATAATCCCCTCCCCAATTCAGGCTCTTAATCCATTATCCTCTTTTTCTTTTCTTTTCTTTTCTTTCTTTCTTTCTTTCTTTCTTTCTTTCTTTCTTTTTTTTTTCTGTTTTGGTTAGGAGGGAGGGACCTTCCTAATGTGGATGGACCCGATGGGTAACCATTTCTGCATATTCATTTGAATATCCTGGAGTTGTCGATACCTGTCACATTTTCTTACCAATTTGTGTCAATCTTTTGTATTTGGGAAAAAGTAGTTTCTCCCTTTTAATGCTTCCGAGTTTTGTAAGGTTGATGTATCATGTCATGTAACCCTACCAGTTAATTCTATTTCTTATTCATGCTGTAACATCAGCTGGGATCTTAGTGTTAGTAGATGTGTCTAATTGTCATTATTTGATGACCTATCACCTTCCACATAGCAGCTGACCCAAGCCACCTTCATTCTCCTTGGTTCCTGGCATCACTCTCCTTCATGCTCCACACATGACCCCTAAATAGTCCCTTATCATGAATTTCTGCATCATGGTACCTGGGAGTTTATAGGTGTTTGTACATGTTTGTTGAGTAAATTCATGAATTTTCTTGATATCGGCTTGAGGTATCTTGAGAGGTACCTCAGCATCTTTCTCTTTCTACCTTCTTCCATTTCTTTGTTTCCCATTTTCCCTGTCATGATTATGTTCTATCTGAACGCGACTTGATTACCTCCACTCCTTTTCTTGGATTTTTTTAACAAAATGTATTCAAGACTTTTTTAATGGAGTTTTAGGGTGACTCAAGTCAGTTGAGCGTCCGACTTCGGCTTTGGTCGTGATCTCACAGTTCGTGAGTTCAAGCTCCACATCATGCTCTGCGCTGACAGCTCAGAGCCTGGAGCCTGTTTCAGATTCTATGTCTCCCTCTCTCTCTCAAAAAATTAATGAACGTTAAAAAAAATTTTAAATAATAAAGTAGTTCTAGGTGAGCAGAATGTACACAGAGGTCCCAGATATCCCCGCCCCCCTCATACATGCATAGCCTCCACATCATCAGCAGCTCCCACCAGAGCAATACGTTCGTTACAATTGACACATTATCATCCTACTTCCCTACTTTCCAGTCAAGGCCCAGCTCACCCTTGGGGTGCATACTGTGGGTTAGGACAGATGCGTAATGACATGTACCCATCCTCACGGTGTCGTACAGAGTATTTTCACTAAAATCCCTTTGTGTTTCCACCTGTTCATCCCTCCCACCCTTCAGCCCCTGGCAACCACTGATCTTCCTCTTGTCTTCGTAGTTTCACCTTGTCCAGAATGTCACATCATTGGAATCATACAGCATGTAGCCTTTTTCACATAGGTGCTTTCGCTTAGTTAGTAATATGCATTTAAGATTCCTTCATGTCTTTTCATGGCTGCCTTTCTAGCTTGTTTCTTTTTAGTGCTGAATAATACTTCATTGTCTGGATGAACACGGTGTATTTGTCCATTCATCTACTCCAAGACAGCTGGATTGCTTCCAGGTTTGGGCAGTGTGAATAAAGCTGCTGTAAGCATCCATGTGCAGGTTTTTGTGTGAACCTAAGTTTTTTGTTCCTTTGGGTAAATACCCAGGAGCCCGATTGCTGGATCATATGGTAAGAGTATGTTTAGTTACAGGAAAGCGGCAAACTGTCTTCCAAAGTGGGTGTCCTATTTTGCATTCCCACCAGCAGTGAGTGACAGTTTCTGATGGTCCACTTCCCCACCAGCTAGTGGTGTCATCAGTATTCTAGATTTTGGCCATTCAAAGGGGGGTGTAGTGGTATCTCCTTGCTTTAATTTGCATTTCCCTGATGACATACAACGTGGAGCATCTCTTCATACGCTTTATGCCATTCACATATCCATTTTTTTTTTTTTTTAATTTTCAGTCTTCCTTATCATTTATTTGCTCCTTCACCTCTACCCACAGAGTGCTGTTTGTTTCCCGAACTGACACTGCCTGAGTTCAGATCGTCATTTACTGGCTACTAGGCTAACTCTTGTGACTGTCCCTTACTACCTCAGCGGCTCACTTGCCCCTGTTAACCTTGGTGCTTTTTTTCTTAAAGGACCCACCATACCTTGACTTCTTATTACTGGGCATTCATTCTACCTGACCCACAAGCCTCTGTTTATTCTCTTCCCAGATCATTCTCCATGCCTGAGTCATGTTCCCATTTTGCATTTCTGATCCTGTTCACACTTGGTAGAAAATACTGGATG